ATGTGTGTGTGTGGGTCTATCGTGGGATCAAACGGGGCTAGAAACCAGGATTGAAGTGGTCTCATCTTGAGTCTGGCATGAAGTATCAGCAATGCTGTGGAGGCCATGAGGCCAAGAAGGCGCTGTGCATGATGTGCAGACACTGTTTGAAGAGGTCAGAATGAGGCAATTGACTTCTTTATTTTTGCAAATCTCTCATGAGGGAGGAAAGCTTTTGCTTGTGTCGAATCTATCTCTGCTCCAATAAAGGTGGCTGTTTGTTTCGGTTGGAGATGGGACTTTTCCAGGTTGATTTTGAGTCCTAGTTTCCTCAGTGTATGTACAGTGGTGTCTCTTGTGGCTTGTGGTATGATGTTGTGACTATCAGCCAGTTGTCAATGTAAGGGTAGATGTTTATACCCTGGAGCCGTAGAAAAGCTGCGACCGGTGCCATGCATTTTGTAAAAGTTCTTGGCGCTGTAGAGTCCAAATGGGAGGTAACAGAATTGGTAGGCAGCATTGTCGAAATAAAAAGAGAGGTATTTTTGGTATGAAGGGTGTATTGAGACGTGAAAATAGGCATCCCGTTTCTCCTCAGCCCAATCATTTCTCAGGCTCATCCCATGTGTCGCCTCGCTCGACCACGCCACTTCCTGCTGCTCCTATGCCTACCGCCCCTCTACCCCGAAGAGGAAGAGGAAGTTGAGGCACATCGAGCTTGAGGTGGCTCCGGCTCAACCAAAACCGTTGTTGCTGCAGTACCCATTGAGGCTGAGCGGCTCTGGGCTTCAGGGCTTCTTTCTGGGGGCTTTTGACCCAGCAGCCTTTATGTTTTAATTTATCCCACTCGTTATCATATTCGTTTGAATGTATGTATTATTTTATTTTTATCGTATTTTGATATTCTGCTGTTTATCTTGTTGTTAGCCGCCCAGAGTGGCCTGGTTGCTAGATGGTGCGGGGTATAACTCTAATAAATAAATAAATTTTAGAAAAGTAGGCTGCTGTCTTTGAAAATTCTGCAACTGTACAATTTTAGTCAAAATGAACCTGCATGTTCCTTGGCTTACCCACTGAGATGTTATTGATGACTCAGCAAAATCCTAAACAACCTCTGATTTAAAATCTAGTTAGCATATGAAGTTTAGATCAGGAAGCTACTGTGTACTGTTAGTGGGAAGGTATACTCAGCATAAGGCACAGACAAGGCCTTTGAATTTTCTGTCCACTGTTGGATTTTGTCTATGGATGAGAATAAAATACATGCAGTGCCACACATATCAACAGTCATGCACTAGGATGAGATTGTGCTTTGTTGAGGAATTCACACAGATGGTCCACAAGGTTGATATTCTGCAGCAATGTGAACTGAAGACATCACAATGTTCCCAAGTTTTAGCCATCTGCTATGTGTAATTAAAAAACAACAACACCCGGCAAGAAACAAAGAAATATCCAAACAAATTACTGATTTCCAATATTACAGTACTTTTCTCTCCCAGCTGACATACCTTTATTGTCTGTATGTTCATCTCATTTGGGATAGGGGATATCTAAGAAATCTCAATGGGGTCAGGAAATACTAGAAACAGCACATTAAACCCTTCCCTGAACCCTAACCACAACTAACCATATTGCTGACAGAAAATGGCCTACAGCTCAGTGAGTAGTTTTTTCCTAACGTAAGTACATGAAGCTTAATACTGTATAAGTTCCTTCAATGCCTACAATCATGCTCACCATCACTTTCACTAACTTGTCTACCACCACCTTTTCTCTGCAAACACACACTACATTCCATTATTCCAGCATTACTGAGCCTTATAGACCCCAAATAGAAGCAGGGAGAAAAAAGGGTAAAATCTATGCAATTATGTTGTTTTGTTAGTTACAACTGTCTATCCTGCACATGTTTACCAGGAGCTCCCAAGGCTGCTAACAGCAGTATAAATAAAGTGGATGATAAATTATTAACTTTATAATGGCAGCAAGGAGACTGTCAACTCCTGTTTTCAGGCAGCAACTCCCATAGTCCATCATCACTGGCTATTCTGGTGGTAGCTACAGGGAACTATAGGCCAAAAACATCTGGAATACTTCAGGTACTCATGATTAGCATGCTGCATGAAAAAAGAAGCATAGTAAAGTTTTTTTTCCCAAAACCATGATACTTGGAAAGCATTTGATTATTAGAATCATATGATTACCCAAATTCAAAATCATAATGAAATAACATTTAATTAATAATTTAATAACATTAAATCATAATAAAATAATATTGCTTTGATATGCTACTATAATGTCGAAGAAGTTATACACAAGCCTCCCACAATAAAAATTTCCAGAGTCCAGGTGCCACAATGTATACTACACATTTGTTTGTTTAATATGGTTTGTGCTCTGCCACCCTCCCCATGGGGCTCAAGACAGCTACAGTAAATACACAAATCATGGATATAAAACAAATTAATTCCAAATATTAGTCAACCTTAACAAGCAGTTAAAAACAAATGGGGGGGGGGAGAGAGAACAGCATTTTTTAAATTAAAAACTCCTTTTTGTAGCATTCCAGTTTAACTGTCACACTCTCGTTTGAATAAAATGATTGTTGCCTCACAACAGACTACCAGAGGATATGGGATTGGTACAGAGTCTAATGAGCAGAGATATTACCAATCCTACAACACTTGTAGTTCCCATGGAACTTAGGAAGCCCCACCTACTCTCTCCTTTTGCAACAGCCACAGAAAACATCACGCTGGGTCTCAGGTGCGTCTACTGAAACTCCTATAAGGACTTGGTGATTTTTTATTTGTTTGTTGGGTAATTGTGAATTGTGGTAGTTATAGTGAAAACAATAATGAACTGTAGTAGTTATAATGGAAACAAAACCCAAAACCTCGTGCTGACAACTAAGGCTTATGTCACTGTGGAGAGATCACATCTGTAGGAATGGGAAAAGCTGGCATACTAGCTTAAGGAGTAGCTAATGCATGTGTTGCCATGGCCAAAATCTGGACATAGATAACAGGGATTAATGCAGGACTACACTTAAAACTCTGAACTTGACTCTTCAAGCAAAGCATGATCGTTTCCAGCATGGATGGAGTTCCTATTCACTAAACTGCCTTTCAGTTGATCAGGAGCACTTCTGCCTTATCCAAATTCAATTTCAATTTGCTCACTTTCACCGTTTGTTACTGTCATCAGACACTGTTGTGCAGCTAGAACATCTCCCTTAGATTTACATATAAAGAAGAGATGGATCTGGGTGTCACCAACATGTTGATAAAACTGAATCTTAAACCCTCTTTCTTGTTTCATGTATATGTTATATAGTATGGGGGACAAGAGAGAGAAAAGGCAGAAAGGCACAAGCAGTGGATATTATGATTGATGATACTGAAAGGCCCAAGAGATGTAGCAGAAATACCAAGGCCACCCTCTCCCATCGAGTTCTCTGTACAAATAGTCCACTAAGACAACCACCACATAATCATACTTGAAGCAAGACCAAAATGGATCTACCGTAGATAGCCTGTTCCATCCAGTGATATCTGAGTGGAAACACCACCATATGTTCCAATATCTTGTCCAAGAAAGGGCAGTTGAAAACGCTGTGTATTGTTTAATACAGTGAAGTTCAGGAGGGGTATTTCAGTAGAGATCTCATCGTTATCTCTTTCATCAACAGAAGAACTTTGTCTTGTTGCAAAGAGGTATTCCACACACTCTTTACCTCTTACTCAGTCTGCCAATTCTCATCCAGAAGACTTGTATATGCCACTAAGGGCAACAATTAAGAACAGGCATGATGGGTCTCAACTCTCCAAGAATCACTATATCCTTGGGCTGTACAAATGGAGAAGTATCCCTAAGCTTTCTCTTATTTTGATGTAACAAATTCCAAGAGGGTATGATTGTTTCCACTCAAAGTTTCCACTATTTCCATCTCGTTCACAGTTCTTTCCTGCTAATGTTAACCACAGCCAGGTCAGCTCACCTATCAAAATGTTGCTGCTGCTTTTACTCAAGGTAATTTTCAGGAAAAAAAAATTCTTGCCATGCTGCAACCTCCACCAACTTTCCCACAGTGAAAGAAATTCCATAGGAGGCTCTGGACCTTCTGAGAAGAGGAACACTGTTGAACTGGAGATGTTTAATTTCCAAAAAAGCTGGTGACATGATAATAAGTAGCACTGCTGGAATTCTGCCATCAACCTACTGACTTGAAGCATACATCATCATCTAATTTGAACATGTTAAGTACAGATGGAGCTTGTTATCCTATTCTCAACGCAACTGTAAAAACACAGTCAAGGATTTACCTTAATCAAACTCATTTAATATAGAATAGCTCATTTACACAACAGATCTAAATTCAAGCTTGTGTTTGACAACAGATGTACATAAGGGAGAATGACCCTTAATATCATATGTCAAATTTTTTAAATAGAAAAAGGACTGAAATTTTTAAAATGCAATTTCATTTCAAGCTAGTTTACAGAATTTGAGACCAGTTTATATGTAATAGGATCTAACAATATTTAGGTTTACAGGTATGGTCAACTGAAGATGTTTCACACCTTTTTAAAAAACCACATAAGTATTTCAGCAAATTGTCAAATTGTCACATTGATTTCCTTGATGCATGAAATAATTTACCTTACAGTGTTATCTGTTAAGACCAAATATTTGTGCACATACATATATGTACAAATGTGTTTCCCTCCACAGGGCCATATGATACACCAGAAAATATGGAGCCTATCTCACCCTTTTAATGTTTAAACACAGGACACTCTACTGTTCTTTCCATTACTTTGGTAAGTTCTGCTTTCCTCCCCATACTGAGTAAAGTAGAATGTTAAAAATCTGTATTTCTAGAGCTTGCTATGCTTGAGATATGCTATTGGAACAAGACATTGACCTCATGCTGCTCCGTGCCTTTTATTAGGCACAGAACCACTCCTTCAGTAACTCCTTCTAAGTTTCAGGGGGGATAAAAAGCACATGCTTACCTGATGAAGGCCAAGGAAGGCCTGGGCCGTAGAAATTGCCCCTGCAGCAGGCACAGTCTGTTTCTGAAAGTCCAGGCCATTTGTCTGTGTGCCTGGAGAAGCAAAAGTAGTTACAATTTATTAAAATTCTGCCCAAAGGCCAATTCAGAAAGCTCTGTAGATACATTTTCAACTCTGTTGCTGATGCTCTGAAATGGCAGTTTGGAGATTACAAACATGAAACACAATCTTTTCACCTTATAGCCCCTTTGAGCCACAAGTGATCAACTTAGAATATCTCTTAATAATATCTATTCATCCAAACCAATCATACTTAATGTTATTCAATATATCCAGAACACAGATAGAAGCCATTGTGAAATCTTCAGAATGCTATTTTCCTAAACTCACGATGATTATGACTAATTCTAAATTTGGGTTTGATTATACAAAGGAAGTCTATGGAACAAAGATGTAACAAAATCAGATGAGTACAAAATTCAAGGAACACAACAGCAGCGTTTATTATTTATATTTGACATACATCTTGACATAGTGGTGGTTGTGTTGGAGTGTTTCCCTGTATCAGGGAAGCTGTGAGCAATGCTGTCAGAAGGCTAGACTCTGTTATGCGTCTGGACTTCTAGCAGGATCACTCAAGCTCAGAAATCAAAGATGCACCCATCCTCTTCAGGATTTAATACTCCAATCAGTAAAAGACACTTTATAGTTCCAAAGGTGATAGAGGTGAGAAAATTCCTAAAAGGCAGCTACCAGGCAGCAACAGTAGTGGAGGATGTCACTGGCAGAGGAGTTTTCACAGGTTATGGTCCTGAAACCCAACCAATGGTAAACAATGTCTGAATATTTTATAACTTGAAAATCATATGAGAAAATCCAAATTAAACAAGAGATAGTGCTGAAGGATAAGAATCCCAGGTTGGAAGGCACTCTCAATCAGTTACTTAGGAATAGCAAAGGACAACTATAAATAGTGCTGCCACCTAAAGTAACTAGACTAATTATGCATTGTCATGTGGATTCTTGTCAGGCTTTAAAGTTTTAATCTGTAAACCACCCAGAGTCGTGTTCACACTAAAGGAGTGGTATATAATCAATGAATGAATCTATCAAATAAATAAATAAATAAATAACCACAACAGCAGCCAATCTTACAACCTGCTTGTAGGAAACACAAATAAAGCAAGCAAGCAGACACAGCATCTAGTTGCTAGTGTGTACTAAGATAAAAGAAAATCCCAATCCTTCACAGCACATATAAATGAAACATAAAATGTGAGTAATATGACTCAACATAAACTCAAAATGATAAAGCAATAAATGTAATGTTTAAATACAGCAGTACTTGTTGCAAGTGAACTAAAGTTGACTGGAGTACAATATTTTCAATCAAACAATCACTAAGTTTTTTAATCTGAAAATGCGAAACTCACAAACTGTGCTTCTAACAATCAGGCAAGATGTAGCATAAGCTATTAGAGACTATAATGCAAAGTCCAACCAAATAATATCAATCAGACTTCTTGGGAAACTATCAACACAACCATCATTCAAGTCTATTCTGCTGAAGAAGAAATTGGAAACTTTTATGTCAGTGTTAAGGAGGAAATTGATCATAAAGCAAAACAGGACATGCTTATAACAGATGACTGAAACACAAAAGTAGGAAATCAAACAGAAGAAAACACTGTAGGACAGTTTTTCCTAGAAGTCAGAAAGGAAGCAGGACAGCCAGTCACACAGTTCTGGGAAACCAGCAACCTGTTCATTGGCAGCTTGGTAGACAAAAGTATTTATGATAAGTGACCTGGAGAAGGGTTGTGAACCAGAGTTGTCAAGGCCGCAATATAACCTAAGCTTGCTTGTGCATGATTGTTCTGGAAGCAGACAAGCGACTTGGATAGAACAAGAGTGAAAAGTGAAAATATATAGGGAAGACCCTGGTGTCATAAATGCATCACTTTCAGAGCTAAGACCTGCTCCCACTCTGCTGCAGTACACTTTCTATTTTGTTGAGAAGCAAAGAGATCTATGTTCAGTGCACTCCCTCTGTGGTTAGGAGTAAGAAGCTGCCATTTATGCACTTAAAAGAAAGATGGCTCAGGACATCTGCCAGAACATTCTGCAAGGCATGGCACTGGATGCAACAGTCTTAGAGGTGTAATGTGAGGCAAAGTGGAAATAATGAACACATACCAACCAATTTGTTTATGTAGCATATGACAGTTGTCTATGACCATTTCTACCATACTCTTATGAATTAAGATCTCTTAGTGAATACATTAAGATCTCAAATGTCTGCAAAGCCTTTAAGACAGCCAAAAATTCAAGTATATTTATGTGAAATAGCTTTTCTTGAGGCCCCTGTGCCTTAACATGTAGGTTGTAGCAATGTGCTCCTCATCCTGTAGTGGAAGCATCTGTGGTAATTTGTACATCTGGTCAAGGCTGTTGGACCAGATTGGTCCACAGCAAGACTGATAAAAGAAATCCACCATCGCAGGTCCCAAGGCAGTCCTGAAAGGAGGAACAGATTTCCAATCCCTACTTAAAAATAAGTGACAAAGCAACCAAAGATGATGAAGTTGCAGGTGGGCAAAGGAAGTGACCACCATAATAGATGCCATCAAATCCCAGAAAAGCTGTATGATCAGAGTGGAAGACTGGCAATGGTGAGCCACACAGGGTAACGGAGGGAAGAGTCGGGAGGAATGAGGGAAAAAAGGAGAAGTCTTGTATGGTGAGTGAGGAACATGGGAGTCAAAGGCTTAGAGGACTGGGGTGCCTTTTTGAAGGTGGTAGACAAATACAGATCCTATACCAATGGTAATGTTACTTTAGTGAACTGCTTTGGTGTGAAGGGTAAGAGGCAGACACATTATCTTGCTTTTTGGGATAAGTTTCTTCCAGTGAAGATTAAAGGAATGCTGAGATGGGTTTGGGGGCAAGACCCATCTTTCTTGCTATTAGTTTGCTTTTCACAAAAGGGTCCACAGTAGGATCAATTTTGGAATTAAAGAAACCTTCCCCATCAAAGGGAAGATCCTTTAGATCTAGCCTCTTCTATGATGGATTTAGCGTGAGAAGCCAGGCATGACAACACAGGGTAACAGAGTTAGATATTACCTCTGAAGCACAATCAGCAATATGGTGTTCAGAATTTATCTGATGCAGAGTTAGTTTGTGAGCTTCCACATGGAAAAATATGGCACCTGCCTTATAGCCCTCAGGAAAGTAAGAAATGCTTCTGTTTTCCCATAAAATATATTGATATGCAGGCATTGCTGCTTTGTAGTTGCCGATCCAGACTGCCAACAAAACTGAGGAATAGACACAATGACCAAAGATATCTGGCTTGTGCCCCTCTTTATCCCCTGGGGAGTAGGGGTACTGCCTCTACCATAGCTGACAATTTCTGGGTGCTGAAAAAAGGAGGAAAATTTCTTAATTTACCTGAAAGTTGACAAAGGCTGAATATAACTGAACTCTAAAGCTCGGTAATTCCCTTTTGGAACTGAAAAATAGGAGCAGCAATTTCTGTGATATCATTCATTATATATAAATGGCCAACAGAGTAACAAAGCACTGCATTCTCTAGTGCAGTGGTCCAACCTTTTCCTAATCCTTGGTTGAATGTGCCAACAATTTTTGTTTAAGCAAAATGATGTTTTCAGTCTCTTCTTCTGGCATGGGATGGATTCAAAAAGCTATCAGATTCCGAGCTTGGGAAAGCTCATTTTATGTAGTGGTCCAGTGCTTCCTTCTTCTGTATGCATTCTGGCTGAACCACTAAGATCTTGTTTCCAAATGTAAGTGTGTTTTTGGTGTTAACATAAGAGATACTACAACAGGATATAGTTTTGTTCCCAAATGGGTACATTTATTATCAGTTTGAAAGTTAGCCTTGGAACAAAGCCCATGCTTTCTCCTGCAAATGATATTCAGATGGCAATTTCATAAACTAAGGAAACATCCAGAATAGGTCTGAGATGTTTTCTTTTAAAACTGTGTGTTCACTGTTGTGCTTAAGTTTTATATGATTTCTGACAAAGGAAGATTCCACATTTTCTATGTGTTTTCACTTGAACTGAAGGTACTGATAAGCGGTTAATGGGGTGAGAGTGGGGAGACCAAATAGGAAACAATTTTAACATACCACTTCTAATACCAGAGAAGTTTGCCTCTTTGTAATGAGCAGGGAATTTCACCTATGAAAAATTATGATAGACTGAAAAAATTCAGAAGTATCAAGTACACACATTCTGATGTTCTGTGAAGCAATGCAAGTGACATTTAACGAGTTGAGAAAATTCTTGTAGAGACGAACTGTGGATACAAATATACTTTTATAGTCAATAGCAATATTTGTAAGCAAATTAAAAATTGTGTACAAAAGGAATACAATAACTTTAAGGTAAGGGTAAAGGTCCCCTTGACATTTAGTCCAGTCGTGTCCGACTCTAGGCTGTGGTGTTCATCTGTTTCCAAGCCATAGAGCCAGCGTTTGTCCGAACACAGTTTCTGTGGTCACGTGGCCAGCGCGACTAGATGTGAAACGCTATTACCGTCCCACCATGGTGGTACCTATTTATCTACTTGCATTCTTACATGTTTTCAAACTGCTAGGTTGGCAGGAGCTGGGACAAGCGATGAGAGCTCACTCCGTTTCGTGGATTCGATCTTATGACTGCCGGTCTTCTGACCTTGCAGCACAGAGACTTCTGCGGTTTAATCTGCAGTGCCACCACGTCCCTTAACAATAACTTTTCCTACACGTTATTATTGTTTTGACTTATATATTGCCTTGTGGTGCTAGAGAACTCTGGGCAGTTTACAACATAATAATGAAAGGAACACTTTGCCCCCCACCCAAGCGAGCTTGGTACTAATTTTACCAAACCTGAAAGGATGGAAAGCTGAGTCAACCTTAAGCTGGCTACATGAACCCATCAAGATTGAACTTGGGTCATGTGCAGAGGTTTGACTGTAGTGATGCAGTTTAAGCAATCAATATTAAGACTACCATCCTAAATTTTCAGCATCTTGAAGTGTATTTGGTCTCCAAATGCTGCAGAAGCCATTAGTGTTCTATACTAAGATACAAAAACTGTTCAAACCTGTTTAAATGTTGTGTTTAAACAGAAGTTACACATTTAGTGGATTTTAGTGATGCTATTAATTTATGTTTTTTGGAAATTAATGTATTTAACATTCTGATTTAAAGTGAAACCTTAATGCAGCCAGGATAACTGTTTAAGAATTCCTGTGAAAAAAAGAGATAAACTAATGCATCAAAACGCATGCATCATTCTTACAGCATTTAGATATTACATTAAAAAAAATCTTTTCCTGCATATCAGTGAAATCTGCATTTCAGAGTTTATTGACATTTGTTCATACGGAACTGAGATACATGCATACTACAATAAGTATAATCAGATCCTTATTTCACTCATGTGTCTTTAGAAGAATCCCATCAACAGCCAGAGTAGGACAATAAGCAACTATTCATAAATATAAAGGGCTGAATCCAGCATTTGTCCCTAATATAGCAGAACTCCTAAAATTGATAAAGATACACAAATATTCCATTAATTTCAATCATTCTAAATTAGTTGGGGTTAACAGTAGGTTAGAACTTTTAATAAGTATGTCTTGTCATATAATCTTCCAGGTCCTGAGATAATCTTAAAGGAACAATGTTGTATAGTAGATATCCAATCACACAGAAGTTTGTGCTGCATTCAGAAGATGAAAAGACTACTCTACTTCTGAGTATGCGATAAAAGCTTTACATAGCCAGCCTTGACTGTGCAATTCTCCCACCAGAAGTATCTAAATAACATACAATTCTAGTCCTCTATCATGGCCACTAGCAAGAAACCACCAACATTTAGCAAATCCTATTTACTGAAAAAGCAACATCAGTGAAGCCTATGGACTGAACTGAAGCCTCTCATAACACATAGGCATAAAGTGTTCTTACTCTTTTCAGAATCCTCTCTTACCCACTAATCAGAGATGTGCCATTGTGAATATAACTTATAAAAGACTGCACACTGCCCTAGTAATGGCAATGATGCCCATTTCCGATATGACTGCATTGAATCACAGTAGCAGATGCATTATCTTCTCAGACAGATTCATGTCAACCATGTTAACAGAGATTGGACTGAAAGGAACCCATAAGCATTCTCTAATGTTCCTCGGGCTAGTAAAAGAAAGCATTACGGCACAACTGTATAGTTAGGTAACCAATCTGTATGAACTAAATGAAAAATTAGATGGCTACTGCTCATTAAAACAGCAATAGTAGAGAAAATTAAGACTAATATCCTGTTGAAGTAACTATGCCCACAGAAGGTTGATGACAACTCCAAGGAGGGGGAGAATGCTGCTAATGAAAGACCTCCCTTCTCTGACATAGCTTCTCTGACTTGCAAAGAATCCCATATCAAATAGAAGCTGTGGCAGCCTTGGGATGGGAGGAGGAAGCTTTTCATTACTGAAAACTGCTGTTGCCAGAACTCTTTACAGGCAGGGGAAGATTTTCAGCAATGAAAGATTTCCTCTTCCCTTCCTGCAGTTCCCATGGGCTCCTTGCAGTGAAAGGGATTATTTGCAGGGCAGAAAAGCCATGGGAGAGATGTGAGATGTTTTTTATTGCTGAAAATCTCTCCTTGTGGGTGACAACATTACACTTGCAAAGGAACAGCTATGGCAGTGGGATTTCAGCCCACTACTCCAATTTAGTGTCTCTGCAAGATATAAGATAATAAAATGGCTAGCATAGTGTATCAAAGAAATCAAAGTATACAACAGTAATATAGTCAGAAAGCTGCAAGGGGACATTAAGTGCTTACAGTCCCTGAAGGCAAAGCCAAGCTCTTTACAGCAGCATTTTAGTAGCATAAGCTGCCAGATTCATAACATTATGTTTTAAATGTTATGTTGAACAGCATCTCATCAGGAGTAAAGTGCTGAATTTCTAAGATCTGCTTTCATCTCAGAAGCTGAAATCCTGTTGCTTAGTGAAATTATGCTAGAGTAGGCCGATTTGAAACAAGGAAACTTACAGAAGAGTTGGCTCATCAAAACAATGGGCCTAATCCAGTGTGACTTACTACACTAGGCAACAGGATTTAATCCAGCACAGGCTGGCCAAAACAATAAAAATAAGACACAGAGATTGCAGCATCATAAGTATATTCGAACCCACAAAGCAATGGATTACTGGAGAGGACCAATTCTGTGTGCAAAGAAAGCCACTTAACAATAACAGTAAAACCCACACTTTCTGCTAGTATGGATATGATTATTATTATATTATTTGTAGGCACCACATTTGGGAAATAGATGCACTGTGCACCTCCTGTAGGGGAAGAAAAGCAGTTCCATCAATAGAGAATCTGGGTTAAGGTACCACAAAAAAGCACAATCTTCCCAACATGTACACATTTCTCAAATTCCTGAGGTGCTAAGGAAAAGGAAATATTAAATTGATGTGTTATTAAGACCTTGGTACCTAACTGACTAAATTCAAAGCAAAATTAAACCCGTATATAAGCTTGTAGGTGAAGCCGCATATGAAAACAGAAGGCACATACCTAGAGTCAGAGCCACTGCACATCAAAAATGAAATAAAGGGTATGAAGGCACTGACTGGTGTAGGAAACCTAAGGCTCAAGAAGCATGGAGAGATTTACATTAGGAAACCTGAAGAAGTGGAATAACAGGAGGTAAAAGCAGGGGCAAATGGTCACGAACGGTTCATGAGGGATCACAATAGGAAAAAATTGCAACATAGCCCTCCCACCACCAACCTTGATGATAAAGCTAAAAATGATAGAAATCAGATGTAAGATATCTTTTGCCATGAAGTAAAATATTTTTCAAGCTTTTAAGAATCCGTCACTATGCCATTCAGCAATAGTGAAAAAGAAACTAAGAGCCCCTCGGCCCTTTTCACAGTCATGCTGATGCAGAACACTTTCAGGAGTAGGTATACAGGTCATTCTGGGCTCTAGAAGTTTCTGAAATGTTGTTGTATGTATGTGCAGACTTAACATTCTTCCAAACTGGATTATATATAAATCAATCTAATTGCCACCCACTGCACTACATACTTGAAAATTAATACATAAATTATACACATAAATATATAGACTATATGTGATGTTTTTATTACTCTGTTGATTTTTTGGCCTTTAGCTTCCATAATACCTCCAGCCTGATTGACTAGTAGACATCTTTACTGTAATAACCTGAGACCTCTAGATCTTTTTCCCCCTTTCTTTTTAACACTATTTTTCATCTATGTTTTAAAACTAATTTCAGGGAGATCTTAAAATAAACTTTCCTACTGGAAACAGTACAGAGGGAGTGAAGTGAGAGGAAACTGTAAATGCATTAGTCTCAAACAAAACACTGACACTTAATTACCAACTGTTTAGGACACTGCAAACAGGTTATCAGCAACTGCAGTCAATTACTGAGCACTTATTTGAAAAAAACATTTTCTGAAGAACAACCAATCATATATCTTACTTTACAGTTTACTATAAAGAGATTAACCAGAATATACTTGTCATCTAACATACTAAAAAAACCTCAATTTTAAACATGCAGAAATACTATTGCAAATGAGACAATGTTTATCATCCAGAGTAAAAATGAAACATGATATGCCCAATGGAAATGGGGGTATAGTTACAATGTGGGAAAGAATAGAAAGAAATGGAAAGGATATACAAGAACAGATGGCTGCACAGAATCAGTAATGGTCGCAGATGTACATGCAAAACAGGTGTGCCATCTAAATGCCTCAAAAGAGCAGATCCTTACTTTCACCAATATAAATTACAAGCACTGCTTTAAAGATCAATTATTTTATATTTCAAAGCATGATAATATATTGAAACAAAGCAAAGACATTGATGCCACTGATAAAAATATCAACATGTTAAGTTCATAAGCAGACACAGGACTTCACAGAGTATCAATGACAACAGGCTGGGTCAAAATTCAGCCTCGATCAAAATCCAGCTCGGGTCAACATTAAAGATATTTGTTGAAGCTATATGTATCCAGCCAGCCTGGGAGACTGACAATATCAAAGAAAGAAGTTAGAAGTAACAAGTAAAGAAAGCACTTAGAGCAGTGGTCCCCAACCTTGGGCCTCCAGATGTTCTTGGACTACAACTACCAGAAGCCTTCACCACCACCTCTACTGGCCAGAATTTCTGGGAGATGAAGTCCAAGAACATCTGGAGGCCCAAGGTTGGGGACCACTGACTTAGAGCACTGGTTCTTAACCTTGGGTTACTCAGGAGTTTTGGACTGCAACTCCCAGAAGCCTTCACCACCAGCTGTCCTGGCTGGGGTTTCTGGGAGTTGCAGGTCAAAAGCATCCCAGTAACAAAGGTTAAGAACCACTGACTTAGAGCACTAAAACACACATACTACAACACAAGTGATTGGCAAGTGGGAAGCAGTGGAGAGAATTCAACTCTTAGATTAAACTGCATTGCTGTTCTCGCTATCCCATGTTGCTCTTCTCTGGGAAAGGTGTCTTGTGGTACTTTCATGAACACCAGCAACTCAGGAGTGTCAGAAGCAGCTAAACAACGTTAAAAGTCACTTTCCTACAAACAGCCTTTGTGGTATGAGATTTAAAATGGGATTTGAACAGCATAAGCAAGAATCTGAAACAGGCCCAACCTTCCCCTTGGAGGGTTCAGAACACAATGAACAATTATTATAATCACTAAAATGCATTCACACATGATCATTGTGTAGATGCCATTCTGAACACAGACACCAACACTAAGGAAACAAGAGGTTGTGTGGAGAGTATTAAGGAATGAACACACAACCTTTTAAGGAAGAATAGTATAATAACCTGGACTAATTAAGGTGGGAACAGAACTCTCTCTTCCAAACTAACAGAATTACATTTGGAAAATTGATCAAAACAGCAACTTATTATTACCTGTGTCCCCATCCCCACTCTCCATTTTTACAGGTTTACTTGTTTCTGACGGAGTGTTCATTCTTGAGTCTGCATTAGAAACAAAAGAGAAGGCATAATTAAGGCAAACATAACTGACACCCATCTTTTCTATGACATAGTCAAATATATACTCTTGCTCAAGCAAACTAAGTTGCTGGGTAGATATGAATCCAAGAAATCTCAAAGAAGTCTAGAGAATTATAATAATAACTATGTGCTGTTCAGTTGATTCTAACTTTTGGTGAAACTTTTCCGTGGTTTTCTAGGTAGACATGACACAGAAGTTGTTTATCATTCTGGGGGCTCCCTGGAACTGTGCAGCTTAGCCATGTCTGCTTAGGCTGGCTCTTCTCCAGTGAGGCACACTGAGAAACTGAACTCCCGAACTCTGACTCTGAAGCCAGACACCTAAACCACAAGGAATCTCCACTTACTGTGGCAAAACACAAATCAAACAAAAATTTTAAAAGTGGGGAAAAGCCAGCTAATGATACTTGCAATAAAATTTAAAAAATTCAAAATACTAAAACAGATGGGCTGCAATGAAATGCTGTTTGGTTAGTATTTCCTCTTGAATTCAATGTTTTTGACTTATGGTCTATTTTGTTCAAATACAATTCCTCCAAATTTTGTTTAGTTTCTTTTCCACATCTCCCAGTGCTATCCACTCTTTTGTAATTTCGACTGATGCTGCCAGCTCCTCTTCTGAACAGCTGCCATGTTACTAGTGCATCTACATGCCATCACTGTATGATCATATCACTATGCTGTATACGTTGACTATTTAGGAAATGATTCACTGAAAACGGTATGGTGAAGTTATTGTGCAATGGCAAGAGAAGGCCACCAGCACTTAACAACAATATACTATTCATAGAAGTGGGAGTGGTAAACAGTGAGACACAACTTATCAATGAAGTCTTCAGAAGTGTTGAAACAGGATTAAAAGAAGGGGAAATCAATGACTACTGATAATATGTGGGAAATGATCCAAACTATTGAGAACAATGTTAACATAACTCTTGTATTTTCATTCACCATGGTCTAGATGTTTGCTGAACAAAAATTCAATCACTTTTCAGTTATAATCATATCAGACCCCTTTCTGCAACTGAACTGATGCTTGTTAGTATGGTACTGAAGAATGCCACTGCTATTGCCAGCAGATTTATTCTCATTATAGAATACCACCCACTATTGGTCTTCTCCAACTGTGATAAGTCTCTTGAGTTTTTAATTACTGGAACCCACATAATTCATGTGCAGTAACATGCAAAATAAGACAGACAAAATGCTTAACAAATTTTCTCCCACAACACTGCACTAAATGCTCACATGGTTTGGATTTTTATTTTCATTTTTGTGACTATTACCTTTTGAAAGGGGTAGGCAAAAACTGTTTGAAAAAATCCCTGATTTTCATGCTTTTGCACATTCTTTGTTTGTCTGCTCGTAGTCATTGGTCACTTAACCTGCTGATGCACAACAATGACAAGTAGGAAGGCAACCTAGTGTAAAAGCATTGAAGACAGTACTATCTCACACTGAGAATATTAATGAAAATAATACAGTACAGAGAAATAACATTTGTACTTGGATGCTTAGACAGTTACTCAAATATTTTTCCCATCATGAATTTTCACCAAGGTGATAACTAGCTGTATGTGACAAAGAGGTGGCATATCTCACAATACATTCTCCAACTGATATTCCACCAAACAGTTCTAAAACATGACTGAAGAAAATTGAGAATAAGGAACAGTACAACTATCATTAATTAGAAAAAGTACAGAAAAAACTGCCAGACTAGGAGAATAGATATCCTCAGAAATTAAGTGACTAAAGACTGTATTAGAAATGCAGCCCACAATCAACAACCAGCAAAACAGGCAGATCCATCAGCAATGAATTACTGTAGATAAATAAAGATAAATATTGTGGCAGACAGGCAGTGAATCCTCAGAAGACATTAAATAACACATGGGGAAAATCTGTGAGTAAACACAAGCTCAATTACAAAACAGAATGCATAGGGGCAGCATATTCCAAGCTGTAAAGCATTTGAAATGTGCAGGCATCATACATATGGATTATTAAGAACTTGTATGTTTTCCAGTCTTGTACATAGTCAGCAATGAGGATTCCTAAAAGTAATCATCATCGTAATACAAACTGTCTTGCACCCTTACTAAAGTCCAGTATTTAATGGTTAGAACTAAGTTACTGTTCTTTACAAATAAAACGATTAAAAATTAAAATTGTCATGAAAGTATAGACTGATGCATTATTTACAATTAAGTCAGAATCAGAATTGAAGCATAAAAGGTATATGACTGCTAAATATTATATAAGCATTGTTAATACGAAAAAAGTATACTTGTCACACCTTAGTTCTGAAAGACATTTTCACCAGGCTCACATTTGCAATAATAAGCATGGAAGAAAAATTATTTAAACTGCCCTACCAACAATGCACAACTTGTTTCTGTTTATTATGCATGTTATTTTCTACATAACAGGGAGTCATATTACTCCTATATAACAATTCACCAAACAATCAGAACATATGGCTCATGCTGTGAGACAAATATATTCCTGTAAAATATCATCTTATTGATTACAATCCTGGAACTTAATGAAATATACTATTTTAATCTGAATATATGTGTTTGTGTGCACACGCACATGCATGTGTGCCCAATTAGCTCTCACTGAATATAGCTGCATTATAAATACTGAATATAGATGCTAAGGTACAGCAAGTAGTAATGACATACAGTATAGATACTCAGTTGAATAGGCTTTCCTTGGCTACTCCAAAGCTTTTATTATTTAAAAAATGTTAACTATAAGTATTGTAGCTGACTATAGTTGACTATATACTCAAGTATATACTGTGGTATATACTTAAGTATATACCACAGCTGAAACGAGGTAAAATCATGTCCATCGAAGTATTATGCTGTATGGTAATCTTTAGAGACAGATTCAGTATGATGCACCCTCTGCTGTATCTTGAATACAGTCACAATGTAGACAGTGTGCTAGAATCTGTTAATTGTACTTCAAACCAAGAAAACAAATTTATTTTTTCACAGTAATTAGGACTCAATTGCCAGAATCCCATATATAACATGATAAACTGTCATAATGGAATTCACAACCACAAGATACAATGGTAGCCACTAGCTTAAATAGACGTTCAAAAAGATTAAGTCATGGAAAACTAGATCTGTCAACTGCTGCTATTAGTCATGATGATAATCAAATAGTACCTCCACAAATCAAAGCATTTTATCTCTGATTCGTCTGCACAGGGGAGATGCTTCTACCCTTATTATCTGCTTGTGACTACCCAAAGACATCTGATTAACTAAAATTGGGAGTAGAATGTTGCAATATAGTATGTTGGAACAAGTTCCACTAGTAGGAACATGATCACATACAGCAAGGCAACTGCTATGATCTAGACCGTATTTAAAGCTGAATGAACGAGTATGTACTGTCAAAATGTAGGGTGCAGCTACAAGGCATGTAACTTGTTTACCAGATATTAAGCAAAGTAAAACTTCTTTCTCATGTTTTTTAAGAAACTGCATGTCCCTCCCGCCTGCATTTTTTCACAAATAATGTAAGACTTAATTTGCAGTGACAACAGGAAAACTGCCATAAGCACAAGTATACATATTTAAATGAAGTAAGGACTGAAAGCACCAGGTGTACTACAGAAGTCATAGTCTAACAAGCTTCTAGATTTAGACTTCCTTGTATTTTAAAAAGATCCTTAACCTCCCAAGGCCAACTAGTCACAGAATTATCAATTTCAAATATATAGAAAGGGGGATTAATTTGACAAATCAAGAAATTCAACTACTGTTTGTCACAGTGTGAGATTAAGATCTGTATGTCACTAACTCATACAGAATTTACTAACAGGTGGGCTTCTTCTATACAGCATTGTAACAAAACAGACAACTGCATTTTGAACTATATACATATAATGGACAATGCTTTGTATTCCCAAACAAATGGAGAGTCCGGTTTTGCACTGCCATCATTTAAAAATAACTGAACACTGTAAGTGTGTTGATTATCAACTGCAAAATTCTAAAAATTAAAAAGCACGAGATTGAAGAGTACAATTTGAAAAATATCGAAATGCATTAACTTTAAATACATGTTTTAGCAACATAAAAGGATATTAATAGAGGTTCAATAAGACTGAACAATGGCAGCCAAAACAAGATTTAGAAACCAACTTCTATTGCTGTCAAAAGTCATATGTCTACAGTTTAAAATTCCATACAAGTCCACATTAACACTGAAAAACTCCAGTCCTTCCAAAGCTTTAGAGCAAGATTGCCATGAATAGAGGAAAAATGTGCTGCCACTGAATCCCTGCTAGTCCTCAGTGTTTCAAATACCTCCCTCAATCCTGCGTATGTGATTAAGCATCTATGCATAGTCAATCTTAACAACCACTATTTCCATATTAAACGCCTGCACAAGTCACTTAAACTGGTACCCACCTAGAACGTAGTCACTGCAGTCCAGCATTGCTGTGCAATCCTCTGCAGATTGAGATAGTCCAAAGCGGGGGCGGGGGGGGATGTCCTAAAATACAACCTACACTACTACTCCTAACAGAACAAGAAACGGAGGGGTGGGGATAGGAGAAAAATAGAACTTCAGTTACACCATAGCAATCCTTAACAGAAGAGAGAAAGTTCAGTTGCTCTGTGGAGTTTTAGTCTCTCCTACTAGCTGTGTCTGACATTGTCAAGGCGACTGAAGCATGAAAAGTTCCCTTTTTTTTAATAAAATAGAAACAAAGATTGCAGCTGGCAGTTTCCATAATGAAGCTTAATCAGTATGCGCCTGATTAGGGCCTTATGCAAATCTCCCCTCGTTAGCACAGCAGCCAGCACTTTGAAGTCCATGAACAATTCATTTGCAGAGTACACTGAAAGCGCTCCCTGCATAATTTAAATCATGATATAAATATTTATCAGCTCATTTGCATATTAATTGGCAGTGCATGAAGGGAA